GACCAAATGCTCGACCGTCTGGCAGGTAAGGATTTCTATTGTTTTTTAGATGGATATTCGGGTTATAATCAAATTACTATTGCTCCAGAAGACCAGGAGAAGACAACATTTACGTGTCCGTATGGTACGTTCGCTTTCAGGCGAATGCCCTTTGGATTATGCAATGCACCCGCGACTTTTCAGAGGTGTATAATGGCCATCTTCTCTGACATGGTTGAAAATATTCTAGAAGTTTTTATGGATGACTTTTCTGTTTKTKGAAATTCTTTTGACGCATGTTTAGTTAATTTGGAGAGAGTATTGGAGAGATGTGAACAAACAAACCTAGTCCTAAATTGGGAGAAGTGTCATTTCATGGTACAAGAGGGTATTGTTTTGGGTCACAAAATTTCCAAGCAAGGAATAGAGGTAGACCACACTAAGATAGACATCATTTCAAAGCTACCTCCTCCCACGAATGTTAAAGGGATTAGAAGTTTTTTAGGGMATGGGGGATTTTACCGCCGCTTTATAAAAGACTTTGCTAAAATTTCTAAACCCTTGTGTCAATTGTTAGAACATGATAGACCATTTGTTTTTTATGATGACTGTTTAAAATCATTTGAAATKTTGAAAGTTGYTTTAAGTTCAGCCCCTATAATTATCRAACCTAATTGGGATTTACCTTTCGAGCTCATGTGTGATGCTAGTGATTATGCAATAGGAGCTATGTTARGACAACGTAAAAACAAGATCTTGCATCCTGTATATTATTCTAGTAAGACTCTGACCGGTGCACAACTCAATTACACTACTACTGAAAAGGAACTGTTAGCAGTTGTGTTCGCCTTTGATAAGTTTAGGTCTTACTTGATAGGCACAAAAGTCATTGTTTTTACTGACCATTCTGCTTTAAAATATTTATTTGCTAAAAAATATGTGAAACCACGTTTGATACGGTGGATTTTGTTACTTCAAGAGTTTGATATTGAAGTTAGGGACAGGAAGGGTACTGAAAACCAAGTTGCTGATCACCTGTCTAGATTGGAATCCCCGCTCTGGGATGATGGAACTGTTATACGTGAACATTTTATTGACGAGCAACTCTTGCGAGTTGATTCAGTTYCRTGGTATGCCGATATAGCAAATTATTTAGTAAGTCGAATAGTTCCTTATGAGTTTAACAAGCAACAAGTAAAGAAATTTCTAAATGAAGTTCGATTTTATCGTTGGGATGAACCTTTTTTATATAAGCTAGGACCTGACAATATCTTATGCAGGTGTGTAGCAGAAGAAGAGCACGAGGCGATATTAGACGCTTGTCATATGTCTCCATATGAAGGACATTTTGYAGGACACAAAACYGCAGCCAAAGTTTTGCAAAGTGGGTTCTTTTGGCCCACTCTGTTTAAAGATGCACATAAGTTTGCCCAGGTTTGTGACAAATGCCAAYGGACAGGTAATATATCTAAACGCCATGAAATTCCTCAAACCCCGATCCTTGAGATTGAAATATTTGAYGTGTGGGGTATAGATTTGATGGGTCCATTTYCATCTTCTAATGGTAAGCTTTATATATTGTTAGCAGTAGATTATGTTTCGAAATGGATAGAAGCCATTGCAACTGCTACCAATGATTCTAAAGTTGTCATTCGTTTTCTGCAAAAGCACATTTTTACGCGTTATGGAACCCCGCGTTGTCTGATAAGCAATAGGGGGGCTCATTTTGTGAATAGGTCTATGCAAAAGTTGCTGGCTGAATACAATGTGCGTCATAGGGTTGCAACAGGATATCATCCTCAGTCGAATGGGTTAGCCGAAATATCTAATAGGGAGATAAAAAACATTTTAGAAAAAACTGTAAATTTTAATCGTAGGGATTGGTCTTTGAAGCTTGATGATTCACTTTGGGCATATAGGACARCATTTAAGACTCCCCTCGGCATGTCCCCCTATAGGCTAGTCTTTGGAAAAACATGTCATTTGCCTCTTGAGCTAGAATATAAAGCATTTTGGGCTACTAAGAAATTAAATTTTGATTTGTCGGCTGCAGGTGAAGCGAGGACGTTACAATTGTTGGAATTAGAAGAACACAGGCAATTTTCTTATSAGAATGCTAAGYTGTTTAAGGAAAAAACTAAACAGTGGCACGATAGGCGTCTTCGGCCGAACAATCTTCAAGAAGGTGATCTGGTTCTGTTATTCAATTCTAGGTTGAAACTTTTTCCTGGGAAACTTAAGTCTAGATGGTCTGGTCCCTTTAAAATTTTTAAAGTCTACCCATATGGGGCAGTGGATCTAGTTGACTCTAAGAGAAGTATTTTTAAAGTAAATGGGCAGATACTTAAGCCATATTTTGGAGAACCAGTGGATAGAGGAAAAACCTCTATTCAACTTTCAGGACAATAAATTTTTGCGAAAAATGTTTTTTTCCTTCTTATCCATTTTGAAAGAACAAAAGTAAAAGAAAGAAGTTTTTGTATCTTACATTCTTTTTGTTTAATCATAAAAAGTTTTGCTTATTAAGAGAATGTTCTTGAGAACATTGAAAAAAAAAAGAAGAAAATTACGCAGGCGCCTGGCGCCTGCCCTTTGCGGAAAAAAAAAATCACGCAGGCGCCTGGTGCCTGCCCTGCTTTTCCAGAATTTCGAAAAATTTTTTTCCTTCATGGTTTGGGTTTCATTTTCGAATTTTATGGGTTTTATTTTGGGTCAAACATTAATCCTTTGTGATTTAAGTTTCAAATCTCTCCTTAAACTCAAAAATACTTCAAATTTTGTTTCCCTAATCCTATTTGGAATTCAAACTTATTTTTTCCTTTTCGGTTTAGGAAACCTAGTTTAAAACTCAATCTCTTCCCATTTAGGATTTAGTTTGGGGACAGCTTTAAATAGACTCATTGCCCTAAGACTTACACCTCAACAAAAACCCACACAACTCTCTTCCTCCCCTTTGTTTTTTCGAAAAAAAAAATACTCCCTCACCACCCTTGTTTTTGATTTTCAGCCACAACCAAGAAGAAGAAGACATTTCCAACCTTTGTTTATTTCTATGGTTTTTTTTCTCAACACACTTCACTCCCTACTTCTCCTTCCCAAGCTCCTACACAACCTCCTATGATGGGCCCACATGGTTATGTAAATTTTCAGCAGCTACCCACCCTTAATATACCTCAAAACAGTGAGTTTAGGGCTGCAAATCCTCAACAACTTCCTCCAATCATAAATCCGGGTATGTACCAACCGTTTATGTTTAACCCGGCTCCTTCCTATCATTTTCCCTTGTCCCAAATGCAAATTCAAGCTAGTGTTCATCCTTATGGAATGCCCAACCCATCTATTCTATTCCCTAGCCTTCCACCTTATTATGGAATGGGTAATTGGGTACCTCCACAAAATTATGGGATGATTTCACCTAGGGTTCTCCCACCACCTCAACTTCCATTCCTAGAAAGAGGACCTCAAGCACCCCAATTGAACCCTAACATATTGAGTACCTTCAACATGGGACAACTAAAACCCTTAGAGCCTCCTATGATGCCAATCCCAACCAATATGCAATGGATACAGGAGTTGAGCATGAAGGAGAGCAAAAGAAGAGTCATAAACAGAGGCTAGAGCCCGAGGTCTCGATAGGGCAAAAGAGGAAGGGCAAGGAGGTGCTGACGGATCTAGAAATTGAGGAAGATGGGAGTAGTAGGCGTCTGACGCCTAAGGGTTCATCTATGGAGAACATGGATGAGGAGCAGTTTTATTCATCTCCGTTGATTATTACATCTGGAGATGGTAATGATGATTTTCTACTGGTTTCACGAGGCAATTGTTCAAATATGCCAGAAATGGAGGATACCGAAAACGAAGTGGTAAGAAAAGATATTCAGGAACCTTCCCCATTGGATACACCTACAGAAGGAGCATTTTTTAGTCACCAAGCGTTGCCTATTGGGGCAACTGGATCTACTCCGTTGGCAACGGATGAGTATGTCACACCGATGGCCACTCTACCAGGGGTAAGGGATGCTCACGCTATTCCTTCTAATGCAGTTAACCCGCTTGGGTGTGATACAGGTAGATCCAAGGTTGGGGAGAATAGTACTCAAGAACCTACCAGAGAAGAAGATCCTGAGGACACGCAGACGTTAAGGGAAATGTTCCAATACAAGAGGCGGGAGAAAAAGAGTTCAAAACGTCGTGCAGTTCATACTAAGAAGCCGACAGTGCCCATGAATGAACCTAAAACAAGAGCTGCGAAAGCTAAAGCAGCTGAAGCTAAGAAGAAGGTAGTGGCACCTGGGCCAGTTAATACAATCGAACTAGACTTGTCTAAGGGAGATGAGGTCGAGACGCAATGGAACACGGCGAATTTAGCCACTCGAACTTCATTAATGAAATCCCGTAAGATTATGACAGAATTGGGATTCGACCTCAATCTAGGAGATGTGCCTGACGATTGGAGGGAGACCGCCAGAGATAAAGAATGGAGACCACTCATTCAGCCCATACAATGTGAGGCTTTGGAGTTAGTCAGAGAGTTCTACGCTGCTGTCCATCCCCAGTCACATATAGCCATTGTGCGTGGGAAGGAAATAAGGTTTGATGCCACTCAGATCAACTACACCTTCAACATTGAGAATATTAGAGATGCTGTGGGAAATAAGATGTTAGTGACTCCGACTCTAGAACAGCTCGGTGAGGCTTTAGAATGTGTTGGGAAGCCCTCTGCCACTTGGGATTTGACTACTTATGGCAAGGTACGACTAAAACCCGAGGATGTTTCACTAGCTGTTGCAGGATGGTTATATATAGTCAAAAACAGAATTCTGCCAACGGAGCATGATGAGCATGTCACTCAGGATAGGGCACTGCTGGTTTATGTCATGCTAAAGGGCATAGATGTGAATTATGGAGAATTGATCAATACCAGTATCCATGAGTGTGCCCACCGGACACGTGGTAAGCTTTATCACCCACGCTTGGTCACTTCTTTATGCTTGCGACAAGGTGTGCAGCTCCCTGCGGATCAAATTAAGAGAGATGCCCCAGTTGTGGAAGAGAAGAATATTCGGAGAATTATCGCCCATGCGCTACAAAGAAGGGCAGGTACTGGGTTGTCTCCTACATCGGAGATCCGTCGTCTCCGAGAGGAGAACCAACAGCTGCGAGATCAGGTTCGAGAAGTCGTGCAACATATCTACAACTTGAGGGCTTCATTGGATTTTGCAGTTTTACCTTCATGGCCTCCAGCGCTAGCTGCTATCCTTGGTCATCCATCTTCCAGTACCGACACTGATCCTTGTCCACAACCTCCAACTTCATGAAGGGGAGGTTCCTTCTTTGCTATTTTTTATGTTTTATTCTTTTGGTTAATGACGCCGTTTGCATATTCTAGCCTTACTACGCATGTTTTTTTGTATTGATTATGTTTCGAGCTCAGTTGAAGCATGMATAAATTAGTATCGTTTATCTTCTGATCACTTAAAGTATGCTTTCACTTAATCTTAGTTTAGCTTTTCACATGCCTACTTTGAAGCATCTGTGCTGTGCATGTGATTTCATGTCAATGATGATTCTAAGAGATTGTTGAGTTTTCTGTTCTATGYCTGACTAAGCTTTGAGCTATTTCATTCGTTTATGTGATAAACTCATTTTCTTTTATGTCTTTTTGATCTTTACAGACTATAAGCTTTTTCTTTGCCCCTATATAGGAAGTCCTTGTCCTTTTTACTGTTAAGCCTTTTTCATCAGATGCAAAAGTCTTTTCCCAGTGAGGACACTGTCTCTCTTAAGTTTGGGGGGGACAGTCGTTGTGTCAGTCATTGTTTCAGAAAGATAAAGTGTTATTTATATTTGAAAAATCATGCTATTTTCTTTTGAAAAAGAGTCAGTTGGAAAGAAAGAAAGTGTTGAAAAGCACTTAGCAGTAAGGATGGTGATAAGTGACTTCGTTGAGAGAAAAGTTGCAAAAGAGTAAAAAGAGTCTTGTTGAGAGAAAATAAGAGTGGGGAAAATACTTATGTTAGAAAGAAAAGAGTGGTAAAAACAATSAGAGTTAAAGAAAATGTATTTATGATTTCCGAGTCCTACTGTAGACACCCATTTAGTTTTAGGTTGGGTGTTGACTTTGAAAATAGCAGTAAGGATGGTGATAAGTGACTTCGTGTTTTTCATTGTCGTCGTCTTATGACCTAGCTGTTAGTTTCAAAGTCTTTCTACGAGTAGTTGTGGTCGAAACCGATGTTAGTGTGTGGAAACCTCAGGGGCTAGTAGCCGGTCTTTCARATGTAAAAGTYTCAATGTAAAAAGGGAGTGTGCAGATTMCTTAGRGGTATTTGAAAACGTTTTCTGTTTTTGAAAGGARAAAGGATTTTGAAAGAGAAAGTTTTTATCATTTCAAACTTGGTTTATAGTGACTAAGCTTACAAAGGCAATAGAATGGTAGGATTTGACATCTTTTCCCTGAGACAATTTATGATTGAACATCTCGGTTGCTTTTGCTTTACCTTGTCAATGTGTTAGAAAGTTGATTAAAGTTGCTAAGTTTTGCTTGAGGACAAGCAAAAAGTTAAGTTTGGGGGTGTGATTACGCTTGTTTACATGCGTAAAAAGAAGGTTTTAGATSCTGTTTTTACTATGTTTTGACTTTGTTTCGGACTTTTTCTCGGTCGTTTGAGTTCCAATTCATGCAAAATTCATATATGATGGTTTGTGGTTGGCTTATATTGTATTTATGACATTTTATGACCATTTGGGAGTGCAAATTAATCAAAAGACGGAAAAACCTTCATTGGAGGCGCCAAGCGCCTGGTAGGCTGCAGAAATCCTGGTTTTCATCCAACTTTGTCCTTAATKAAACGCGTCTTCCAATGCGTTTTGGTGGTTCCAACCGATGYATACATGTAGAAGAAGTGTTCCACTATCAGTTTAAGCATGATTTGGTCAGTCAAAGGAGTTGGAAATGGGTGATCCACCAGCGTTTTAGGACCTACCTAACCAATTCTGCACAGCTATAAATTCCAGCAGCTTCTCCACCAAATTCATCAAGCCTTGCTTCCTTCTCTTGATCATTCTTAGTATTTCTTTGTTGCTTTCTAAGTACTTTTGAGTTGCTTTCATTAGTTGCTTTTAGTTTTTAAATCCCGAGCACTTTACATTCCTTTATTGAGCTTTGTTTTGTTTC